CGAACGACGACGACGACGACGACGACGAGGGAGGAGGAGGAAGGACGACCACGGCGACAACGGCGACGGAAACGACCACGACGCCAAAGAGGACGACGACGACGAACACGAGGAAAGACAGAGAACGACGTAGGCGACGACGACGACGACGCGGGAGGAGGGAGACGTGACAAAGTCTTATGTTAGAACAAAACATGTCCCCGCGTATCGTTTTGTTACATGGGAACCTCAGGGGGGTCGATCCTGGCCCCTCCGGGATAGTGTAAATTCATATTTAGGGTGGACATGTGGTCAGAATCGTTTATGATTTATACCCGACAGGGGGGCGGATAATGCCGGGGGGGGTAGAGTCTATTGTTTTTTTTGTGAAGGAGAATCTACGCGGTGCAACCTATGCGGTGCAACATATATGGTGCATTTTACGTGGTGCAATGTATGCGACGGCGACGGCGGCGATGGGCGGCACCGCCCGCAAAAGCTGCCACTCACCCCGAGATGGTTGAGCCAAGTAAGAAACCCTAAGTGCAGGCACACTTCGGGGAATGATGATGTTGATGCTGATCATGATGATGATGATGATGATGATGATGATGATGATGATGATGATGGTGGTGGTGACGATTATGATGGTGATGATGATGATTATGATGATGATTGTGATGACGATGATGGTAATGATGTGTAGGTTGATGTTGATTCTGGTGATGCTGATAGCGATGACGATAACGATGACGATGATGACGATGGTGGTGATGATGATGGCGGTTATGGTGATTGTGATGGTGATGATGATGATGAGGAGGAGGAGGATTGAAATGCTGATGGTGTTGATGATTACGAAGGTGATGATAACACTGGTACTGATGGTGATTTTGGCGATGGTGATGATGATGACGATGATGATGATGATGATGATGATGATGATGATGATGATGGTGATGATGGTGATGATGGTGGTTGTGGTGGTGGTGGTAGTGATGACGATGACGATGGCGATGACGATCAGATAATGAGGAGGATGAGGGGATGATGTTCGTGGCGGACGAGGGGATGAATCACATGATGGTGGTGATGGTGATGATGGTTATGATTAGGAGGAGGAGGAGGAGGAGGACGACGACGAGGATGGTGGTCATAACTGATGATAGTAATGATGATTATGAGGAGGAGCAGGAGGAGGAGGTTAGGGTCCACAACGCCCCCCACTCCCAGCGACGACGACAACGACGACGACAACGACCACGACGACGCACGACGTACTACGCGCGACTACATCCCATAACCGGTCCAAGACGGTCGCATCCATTCTCCGACAGCGAGTCGCCCGCAAACCCCGAAACTCGTGTCATCACAGCGCCATGGGCTGGGCTAGAACCTTAGAGCGCGCGCGAAGCGCGCACGTGGTTCCAGTTCACGGATGGAGGACGACTCCTTTTCAGAATGTTGTTCTCGCCTTAGCGCCGCGCACGTTCGTTGCAAGAGTTTGCAGCAATTTTGAGGGTTCTCATGGTTGAAGAACGTCCCAGAAACGGTGTTTCGGCACGATGTCTGAATGTCAGGGCGCAACAGTCATGTCCCAATCATGATGTGCTGGCACGATTCAGGATCGTCAAGACGCAACAATAATCTTGTTTCGCGGCGATGAAGTCCCAGGAGTGATATTCTGGAACAGTTCCGGATTTTCGAACGGTTGTCTTCCAACGGGGCATTTCTTTTGGTGAAAATGAGTCTTTGCAGGGGCCTATGAAAAGGGATCTTGGCGAGAAGGTTTATTGCAGAATCGTTGATGAGTCTTGGGTTTACACTGGTCCTCCCGCTTCTCCTCCTCCTCCTCCTCCTCCTCCTCCTCCTCCTCCTCCTCCTCCTCCTCCTCCTCCTCCTCCTAGCGCCAGCTCGGGCCAAACCGTGGCCCCCGAGCCAGCGCCACGGCGCTCCCGCGCCGCCCAGGGGCCCTCCCTCCCCTCCTCGTCGCGCCCGTCTCCCTTCGCCGCGGGATGGACCGGTCGGCCGGGCTGCGGCTGGGCTGCCGCCGCCGCCCGAACCGCTCTGCCGCGGGGCGCCGCGCGCAGTATGCGCGGGCGCAGGGGCGGGCGGCGCAGCACCTGCTGCTGGCCTTCGAGGCCATCACGGTGCACCGCGGCCAGCAGCTGTCGAGGCTGGGCCATGCGGTCTGCCTGGCGCTCCTGGAGGGCCCGCCTGGAGACCCTGCCGAGGGTTGGGCTCATGGCGAAGCAGGTGCGGGAGCTGGAGATGAGGGCGCCGTGCAGGAAATCACCAGCACTCCTCAGCAGGCGGAGGTGGCGCCTGGCGGAGTCACTGGTGCGGCCGCCGACTCCGCGCTGGAGCCCGTGGTCATCGTGGAGGACTTCGCCGATGTGCCGTCGGAGGAGGCGCCGAAGGGCGAAGAGCGTGCCGTGGGCCCTCGAGTCCAGGGAGAGGCCGCTCCCTTCGCCGCGGACGCGCCAGGCGCGGCCGCAATCCCTCCCGCGGGGCCCCTACGGGGGGTAGTTTCCCCTGATGCGGTGGAGGCGGGCGCGGGTGCTCGTGACGGAGGCGTTGGCGCGGACGTTGGTGCGCTGCTGCGCGGGCTCGGGACGGCGATGGCGGCAGCCACCCCTGCCCCGTCGGCTGCCGAGCGTTGGGCGACCAACGCTGAGCGTGCGCGGCTCCTCCGAGACGCCGATTTTCTACGTGGCGCTTCGGGCTCGGAGGAGTGCAAGCAGAGTTGAACTACTTCGATTCGTACGGCTTCCACCTCTCCTTCGTGTACTCGGGTTCCGGTTCTGGGTCGTCGCGTTGCTGGAGGAGGTCAGAGTGGCGGGGAGCCTAGAATCTTTTGTTATCGCACCGCGATGGAGCCCATTCCCATTCCCATTCCTCCTCTCATTCCTCCTCCTCCTCCTCCTCCTCCTCCTCCTCCTCCTCCTCCTGCTCCTGCTCCTGCTGCTCCTCCTCCTCCTCCTCCTCCTCCTCCTCCTCCTCCTCCTCCTCCTCCTGCGTTTGCTCTGCATGGGATTCGAGAGTAGAAGTGAGTTGTTCGCTCCGCAGCTTTTCTCTCATACAGGAGGGGGGCTTCCTGGGGCCCGGGCTGTGCATGGCCCTGGCGCTGCGTCCGCGACACGCCGCAGCCGGCGTGGTGGGCGCAGTGCTGCTCAGGCACGCCGACCTGGTGTATCAGACCTTCCTGCAGCAGGCCGGGCTCTGGCAGGGTGCGGGCCACGCAGGTGCCGAGGCGGCCGCCCAGGCCGCCTACTCAGCCGCGGACGCGGCCAGCCTGGCCGCCGCGGCGGCGGCAGCGGCGGGCGAGGCCCTGACCAACTGGAGCGGGCCGCTGGAGGGCGTGAGCTGCCCACAGGCGCCAGCCTGCACCTGCTCGTGCCCACAGGTGCCGGAGTGTCCACCCGAGGCGGACGGTGACGTGAAGGAGGGCTTGTGGCACCTGGCGGGAGGCGCGGTGGGCCACATCGTCCTGGTGCTGGGAGGCCGTCTTTGCGCCTGTCGTCGACGAGATGGCGTCCGAGCCCAGGCGCCGCCGAGCTCCCCTGCGGGAGTCGCGCCCGACGGCCTCGGCTCCCCCGGGCGTGCCGCGCTGGCAGGGCCTGGCCGCCCTGCTCCTGGAGACAGGGCACGCTGCCGTGGAGGAGGAGTTCTGCAATGAGCTCCTCGTGGGGAGCTATGTGGCCGTGTTCTACACGGAAGATGATGTGTGGCATGAGCGTCAAATTTTGTTCCAGGTCGACGCCCAGCACTGGGTGGTGTACACCCCCGACGGCGACATGTACATAGAGAATGTGGTGGCTGGGGATCCCGACTCGGGTCCGTGCCGCGCGGCCATCCTGCCGGCTGACGGCACCCTCCCGTTCTTCCTCAGGGGCAAGACCTACAGGTTCCGTGACTTCCCGGACGAGCAGCGGCTCCTCGACCTGATCAATGAGGGGTACCAGCTCGCCGTGTCCGAGGGCGGCGAGGTCGTGGGCCCGACGGCGTACACCGACGCCATGGGGCAGAGGCAGCCGTTGGAGTTGCACGAGGGCATCTACCGGCGTGCGCGCGGGCGCCCGCTACCGGCTCTGCCGCCTCCTCTTGAGCCCCCAGAGGGCGGAGACCTCCTCGTAGGGGGCACCCGCGCTCCCGAGGTCCTCGACGCGGATGTGGAGCTGGTGAACGAAGGAGGCCGCTGGGTGTCCCTCGTCGCGATCGGTTCCGTGCGCCGTGGCGACCCTGTGGAGCTCGAGACGGGGGACAAGGTGCTAGGCGAGCTGGCGCTCCACCGCATGCCCAATGGTGAGGTGATCGCCGCGTGTCGTCCCGACTACCTGAGCAAAGTCGTGGATGGAGGTTCGGCTGCCGACGGCGGCGACGCTCGAGTGCTCGCCCCCGTCTCCTACGACCCAGGCGGGCGACGCTGGTGTGACTTTGCCAACGCTGTCAGCAAGATGAGCACAGAGCCGATGGAGGACTTCCCGCTTGAGGGCGAGAGGTCGGCGCTGTGGCTCTTCAAGTACGTTCGTGATCACGGCGGCACGTTCGACGCCCGCCAGACCAAGTGGGCCACGGAGCAGAAGATCGCCATCGACTCCACCGCCTACCTTATCCACGATCTCGTGGGTCTGGCGCTGGATCTCTCTGTGTGCTATGACCAGTGCGATGGCGGCAACCTGGCCAGTGTCGAGGTGCTGGCGCGGCTGTACCAGCTGGTGGAGGAGACCAACGGGGCCCTCCAGCTGGAGGGCCTGGAGCACTACGTGGGCCGCGACCCCACAGGCGGCCTACGCCGCGGGGTCGCGCTCAACCCTGGGCTCGCGCACTATGCGACCGACAAGAAGAGCAAGGAGACGGAGGTGATGAAGCAGCGCCGCAAGGCTCGTGAGGAGTCGGCGGCGGCCAAGAAGGCCTCCAAGGGTGGCGGCAAGAAGGATCAGGAGCACCCCTGAGAGAGGGGCGCACCACGGCGGACCCCGGTCGTGGTGCGAATGCCAAGGGGTCAATTCACCGTCGTGATGCTGCTGCTGGTGCAGGAGATGGCCTTCTTCCTTTGGCCTGTCCTCGGCAGGAGTGTTACACTGGTGGCTGCACTGCGCTGTCGCGGGGCACGGAGCAACGTGTTCGGCGGCGGCTCAAGGTCCAAGAGAGGACCGCCGAGACGATTCGAGCCATCAATCGCCTGGCAGGTTTTGACACGCCCGAGGTGGAGTCCGTCGGGGAGCTGACCGGCCCCTCCGCCCTGGTCTACAGCGACGTGCGGGCGCTTCACGCGGCTCATGCCCCCGAGCCGGTGAATTCGATCAGTCCGCAGGAAGCCTTTCATGAGCTTCTCGGGAGCACGCCCTCGTCGTACATGGATGGCGACGAGGTCTCTCCAGTTCGGCCCTACTCGCGCGAGTTGGTGAGCTGGCCCAAGAGGGGCAACCGCCCGGTCCCGCTGCCGACGAACGCGCGCCACCGGACCTGCTCCGGTACATGACAGAGGGCCAGCGAGATGTGTGGCTGCGGCAGCCGCAGGAGGTGGCGCAGGTCCGGCAGGTCGAGGGCCTGCCGACGCTGCACGGCGACACAGTTTTGAAGGGGAATCGCGACGCCTACATCGGCTTCGTGAAGGATGGCCTTGCTCGGGGGATCTTCCGCCTGAGCCGCCGTCGGAAGGAAGCCGTCAAGGTCTTTTTCGTGAAGAAGAAGGACTCTAGCATTCGGATCGTTATCGATTGCCGACGGAGTAACCAACACTTTCGAGCCGCGCCGAAGGTCCACCTCTTCTCGGGCAGCAGCTTCGGGGAGGTCGAGGTCTCGGCGCACCAGCAGATGTGGTACGCAGGGGGTGACGTTCAGAACGCCTTCTACCAGCACCAGTTGCCGTGCTGGCTGCAGCCCTACTTCGGCCTCGACTGCGTCCGGGCCTCGGAGCTGGGCGTTGCTGAGCTGGACGGCCAGGCCGTGCGGGGCGACCAGATCCTGTACCCCCTGATGAACGTGGTTCCGATGGGGTGGAAGTGGGCCCTCTTCATGGTGCAGCGGATCCACGAGCATGTTCTCGATGGAGTTCCCGAGCTGGGGCCGCGGCGCCGAGCGGTCGACTTTCGGCCTCCGCCTCGAGTCGAGGACGGGGCGGTGCACACAGTGTATGTGGATAACGTGCTGATCGAGGGGTTCGACCAAGCGGAGGTGACACGACTCCGTGAGGCTGCATGCGCCGCGCTGCAGCAGGCGGGCTACGCCACTCACGACGAGTCCGACGCTGCGGCGAGCATGGAGATGCTGGGCGTCGAGCAGACCGGCTGTCCAGGACGCGTGCAGGTGTCCGCGAAGCGCTACTGGCGGTTGTGGCAGGCGCTGGAGTGGATCCGGCGCAGGCAGCCTCCTCTGAGCAGCCGTCAGCTTGAACGTCTGATTGGCCACTTCACTTTTGTGGCTCTCATTCGGCGAGAGCTGCTTAGCACGTTGCGCGCCAGCTACGATTTTTCCAGGGGTGATTTTACCAAGCCCCGGAGCCTGTGGAAAAGTGTCCTCCAGGAGCTCAGAACCATCCAGGGCCTTTTAATTTTTGCGTCCAGGGACTTGGATCCTCACTGGTCCTCGGACGTGTTGGCCTACGATGCGTGTGAGTCTGGGCATGCCACGGTGAGGGGGGCCTGGACGGTGGGGGGTGTACAGCAGGTAGGGAAGTGGCACGAGCGTTGGAGGTGTAAGAGTGAAGACGATCCCGCTCGTACAAATCCCCGTGGTCACGCTCTGGGACAATCTTATGACAAACAAACAGATATGGAAGATATGTCAAACAAGGAGATCGATTACAGTGATGTGTACCTAAACCGTGAATTCCCCGACGTCCCCCCCCAGCTTGTGCAGTCAACTCGGTGGACGCTGGAAAGATATCAACCGGTTTTTACTCGTGAGCCAATTCATGTTACTGAAATGCGGGGCTTCTTGGGATCTATTCGCCGAGCGGTTCGGGATCCTGGAGATTGGGGCAAGTCGTGGCTGATGTTGGGAGACAACTTGGGGCTCATCCTCTCGCTCTCGAAAGGTCGGCGTCGAGACCCTCGTTTACTCATGCTTCATCGTAAGGCAGCAGCGTGGGCTCTAGCTACCAAATCGAGATTTGTATGTAGATGGCTACCCTCTGAGTTGAACCCAGCCGATGGACCATCCCGCAAGAGAGAGCCATCGGCGCCAGCTACGCGACTGGCGAGTGGGCCACCCCAGCCATCGGCGGACCGCACCGACGACTTCCCACGTGGTGCAGGCGCTCTCTCGCGTGCCGTTGAGGTCGGGCTATCCACTGACGGACAAGCGGCAGAAGACCGAGCCAGACGTGGAGAGCCTCCGTCGTGCCAACCAGCCTCCTCCTGGGCATCCAATCCTGGGCTTGCTGGAGGCCAAGAGCGCGAGCCTCGACAAGGAGCAGCAGCTGCGGGAGCGTCGTGCCGCACGTCGGCAGGACGTTCACGGGCCGCTCCGGGACACGACGAGGGGACCAGGCATCACCGAGGAGGCCTCGCTGACGCAGAAGACACGAGATCAGTATCAACGACTACTTCACGATTTTCAGGAGCGGCAGCAGATGCAGGACCTGAGTGTGCATCCCGCCATCCTGGACGCGCAGGTCGTGATCTACTTCGACAGACTTTTTCTGGAGGGAAAGGCCCCATCAACGGGGGAGAAGCTCGTCGCGGCCATCCAGTACGTAGTGCCGAGCTACAACGCCAAGGGCATGATGACCTTGCCGCGGGCGACCAGGGCCCTGCGCGGCTGGCGCCGTCTGGTGCCGCGCCGCACTCGGCGGCCCTTGCCCTGGGAGGTAGTGACCGCCATCGCGATGGGGCTCCTCCGGGTCAACGGCCTGGGGATGGCGCTCTGTTGGCTTCTCATGGTGGACACATACATGCGACCGGGCGAGTGCCTCGACCTCCAGACAAGCCAGATCCTACGAGGGAATGCACAACAGCACATGGAACGAGCTGCGATCCTCCTGCACCCCGCCGAGAAGGGAATGCCCAGCAAGGTCGGGGCCGTCGACGAGAGTCTGATCATCAACCGGACCTGGCTCTCAGATGCCCTGACCAAGTACGCAGCGAGCCGGCCCCAGCGGGGGCCCCTGTGGGACTTCACGCTCAAGGAGTTGAACGCCGGCTTCCTCACCGCCTGCATCCCCGCGGGCATCAGCAGCCTGAAGCCGGTCCTCTACATGGGCCGGCACTCGGGCGCCAGCCTGGACAGGCTGACCAACAGGCTGGACCTCGCCGAGGTGCAGCGTCGGGGCCGCTGGCGGACGGGAGCGTCGGTGCGACGCTACGAGAAGCGGGCGCTCGTGCAGGAGGTCTACAACGGGCTCGACCAGAGGTCCAAGGCCTACTGCAACAGGAGTGCCAGCGAGCTGGAGGCGGCGATCGTTCGGGCCTGCGGCCACGTCAAGGGCATCAGAGGCGTGGGTTCTTCATGATCGAGGTGTTCAGTGGCTGCGGGGCTTTCTCCAAAGCCGCTGGGCGCCGCGGGGTGGAGGCCTTCCCCTTCGACGTCCTGCAGGGAGCCGCAGGGGACGTCACCCGCCGTCCAGTGCAGCGACGCATCCGACGGCTTCTGGCTCATCCTCGTTGTTTGGGCATCCTCCTGGCGCCGCCGTGCACCACGTACAGCAACGCTCGGAGGCCGATGATCAGAAGTCGTGAATTCATCGAGGGCCTCCCGACGAACACTCCGTCGGAGCAGGCCCAGGTCGCAGCAGGTACTTTTTTCATGAGGCTGACGGCCCAGCTCTTCAGGCTCGCTGTGAAGTGTGGAGTTCCTTGGGTGATTGAGAATCCTCAGACAAGTCTGATCTGGCACACTGTCGAGTTTCGCAGCCTTCGTAATCTTGCCAAACAGCAGTCGCTCACGACTCACCTCTGTGGTTTCGGAGCGCGGTGGAAAAAACCAACGACGTTGTGGTCCTGGGGTGTGGAGAACATGTACAAGATGGTGCACAAGTGCCCCAGTTTTGGTTGTCAACCCTGTATATTCTCGGCGAAACCTCATATCGTGCTATCGGGACCAGACCCCACAGGGGTCCGCTGGACAAAGCGGGCAGCTGCATACCCTCCTCGGTTTGCATCCGTCTTGGCCGGCCTCTTTCTCGACACCGGTTTCACCAAGCTGTTGCAGGAATCAAAGCAATCTTATTTTCCAGTGGTGCCATGGGTGAGCGAAAGACTCAGACAGGCTTCGTGATCGTGAACCGCATACGGAGTTTGCGAATTTCGGGCTGTGTACTCTGGGCTTCGCCTTGCACGTCCCTGGAATATCATGGCCGACCAGCTCGCCTTCGAGATTTTCAACAGATGTGGGTTCAAGAAAAACGGAATGGCACGATCGATGGGTTTGCTCTGCATGGGATTCGAGAGTAGAAGTGAGTTGTTCGCTCCGCAGCTTTTCTCTCACCGTCCACAGGCCCCACCACCACCCTCTTTAAAGTGGCTCCCCCAAGTTTTTGGTGTCTCCAAGGGCCCTCCGAGGTCAACAAGAAAAACGGAATGGCACGATCGATCCTCCTCCTCCTCCTCCTCCTCCTCCTCCTCCTCCCTTCTCCCCCTCCTCCTCC